CTGCGGTTTGGTCTCACATTCTTGAAGGTCTTGGCCAATTTTCCGACTGACAAATACGGGCTGGATTGTGGTTTGGAGCTTAATGCTAAGGTCTTTCAATTGCGTCTTAACAATGTTAGCAGAGTCTTGGTCCTTGAAGGGTATGACTACTCGGGTCACATCACTTCCCGCCAATTTTCCCGAAGCCTACTAATACTGGTTTATTTTCCCGAAGCCTGCAATGGCTGCTGGTCAGCAACTCTCGAGTTGACAAAGGTATTAATGGTGGAGTTGATAAGGTGATGAGGGTAGTCCAGACATGAGAATAAAGACTTCAAGTGCTCACACTCCTCCGAAAAGTAAGGCCATGAAGAGGACAAACGGTACACGCGATCGAGCATAGTTGTTAATAAGCTCTGTTTGTACCGGTTGTCAATGTGACTCTGGTAGTGGACAAGTAAACCAGTAGTACCCTTGATAATGGCGTCATGAGGTTGCCGAAACGTCGGGAGATTATATCGTTAGTTTTTACTTGTCTATACATTTCTGAGTGCTTCTGATAATCCTTAGGTAATTCACATTTCAGTTCAATGCAGTCAAGAATTCCTCTTACACTTTCATATCTTCCCTTAAATGATTCTGGCAAGTGCTGCTTCACCTTCTCTTTTGAAGGCCATACAGGCAAACAGCCCAAAAGAGTGTAAAGGTAGTTTGCCCAAGTGATAACAATATCAGAGACAGTGCCTACAGACACATTGAATCTATGCGCCAAGTCATGCTCAAATAATCCGAGTCAAACCCTTGTCAGAAACAGCCACAACTGATCAATTGGTTGTATTTCTCGTTTTCGTTGTTTTTCTTTCTTCTGACCTTGCAAGAAAGGAAATGCAGTGTCTGGAAGGTCTCCATTTACTTTGAATCGTGCCTGGTTCCAACTAAGTAGCAACTTGGCACTCGGTTTGACAAAGTTCCAGAATGCTACCAAGGCTTTGTAAGACTGAAATCCTGTGTAGAAAAATATATCATCATCATTGGAGCTAAAACGTTCTAGGGAGAATTTTGAAAGGGATAACATTTCCGTGAGTTTACAAATCTCGGCAAGTAAGTCTCTCTCTTGTGGTTTGTCTTCTGACTCTTTCTCTCTACGGTTGTTCTCTGAAGTGTAATTCNCAACTCTCGAGTTGACAAAGGTATTAATGGTGGAGTTGATAAGGTGATGAGGGTAGTCCAGACGTGAGAATAAAGACTTCAAGCGCTCACACTCCTCCGTAAAGTAAGGCCATGAAGAGGACAAACGGTACGCACGATCAAGCATAGTTGACGACACTCTCACTATAATGCCCAACATTACTACAGCTACGGACTTCCTAAACACCCTGAACCAAGCGCATCCCTCTGTCAGCTTCACAATGAAAATCGAAAAGGATGGCATGCTCCCCTTTCTTGGCACCCAGCTCCTAAACCGTGCACCCCAAATTGAGACTAAAATTTACGTGAAGCCTACTAATACTGGTTTACTTGTCCACTACCAGAGTCACGTTGACAACCGGTACAAACGGAGATTATTAACAACTTGAATCTAGACTATAAATCAATTCAATTCACTCAGCTCTTGGAGCTGAAAGCTTGGGGCACAAAATCACATTTTACATAAGTCTAATAATTCTAGCTTTAGTACCTTAAGTATCACGGTAACACACGATGTACCAGGAAGATAACAATCATCCGTGAATATTCCTGTTAGTTCTTGGCGAATTCAAATTCAAAAACTGTTTCAGCGAATGTAAAAAAAAAAATGTTTAAAAGGCGACACATTTTCCAGAATTTCGGTTTCTAAAAATCATATAGATTTATTCGTTGGTGAAGGTTAAATGAATTGATCAGTCTTTCAATCAGTTTACTTGGACACGTTCCGGCTCAAGTTTTACTTGTACAACAGGGCTAATTGGAGACCCCTACAAAAATTGAAAGCCTAAGTCTTGGAACACATTTACAGGCCAACACGCTAAAGATAAGAAATACCATTCTGTTTCAAAATTTCTTTTCAAAAACTAATTACATACTTGTTTCTGTTTTTCATTTGGAGTAATATAATTGCCTTTTACATTATCACATGAAGGGCTTCTATGAAAATGTTCGACCTTTTCCGAAGCACTGAGTGTAACCTTAAATTCATAGCGACAGCTACACCATACAATAAATTCTCGAACTAAAAAGTATTAACACTTTGAGTTAAAAATATATTATCAAAGCACCCGTGTTTTCGAATGTTTTGCAAAGACTTTGTAGCACTGAAAGCTAAAATGGACCATTTGTCACTTTAAAAAATTGGGAACCGTAAAACTTTAAGCTACTTCTGAAAGATAACATCTCAGCATTCCAAGAGGTTATACAGTGGAATCCCGTTACTATCACTACAACTACATCATAATATTGTGGTTGTATTCAAGGGATTCTTTAAAAAACAAATAACAAGAAAATGACTGACTAAGCGTTTGCTTAACTTCGGGTCAAAAAAAGTGCCCGTAGTAATGAGTTGATCGCACTAACGGAGTGCTCTTGAGGCGGGCTTCAACTGACGATGTTAGAAGTTACGCTTTTAAACTTATTTCCTAGTTGTGTAATACCTGTGCTACATAATGTGCATGTTAACTGAGGTAACAGAAAGTTCTTCAAACGCGGTCTTTCCTTCAGTTTTAAGAAGTTGCAACAGTCATTGTTTCCTCAGGAGTTTCTTGAGTCATGTATCGCCACAGTGAAGCGGTCTAGCCTTGTTAATCTGTGAGAGAGAACGGTGTATGTAACAAATAAACAAGTGGCAGAAAATATAAGTTACAAAAATGATCTGCCACTGGCAACTGTACATATTTTGTATAAAGGAGATTTCATTTGAGACGAATAACTTGTTGACAATCCAAATTAAACCAAAACTTCTCAGCAATAATAAAGAAAAAGATACTAGCCATCAGAACCGATACTGTTCACATAGGATTGGCACCAAATCTTTGATGCAGGGATTCGCTTGTAAAACGAGTGTAATCCCTAGATCGTTGAACTTTGCGTCCAGTTCAAGAAAAACTATCAAAAATGTGGATAACAGGGGCCAGTTTATCAAAGGGCAGATAGCGCTATCCACTGGTTAAATCACTATCCAGTGGGTAACTGTTGTTTATGTTTGTATTTTCAAATGAAACTTAAAGTAATCGTCTACGTATATAGAGAAATTACATTAGACTTGTTTTCATTCCTCTGATAAACTTTTCAAAACATTGGCTCCGAAAACTAAGCACTTCACATCTTTCACACAAATCTCTTTCCCACGACAAGATTTCTCCCACGTATGAAATCTATACATTGCTTGTAAGACTGGTATCAATTTTTTCAAAGCAACCTTCTACATTTGGCGACTGCGAAATGTCTTCTGTGCAGTTATACGATATGTTCTGAACGCGATTGATTTAACTTGTCATCTAGAGAAATTGTTTTTTAGTGTTTCGAATATTTTCATTCAGAGGCTCTTAACTACAATATATTTTTACATTCATCTTGAAAGAACCTTTTCATAAAATGTACACCACCTTTAGAGAGTAAGGCCACGGAAAAAACCTAGCCTTTACTTTCCAAAAGGCATGTGTTGAAATAACTCTTAACAATTCCATTACATTGAACCCAAAGAGCAACCTACGCGACGAATGAAAGTCTTACCATGAACTAATCCCCTCATTTTTTGAACAAGAGCTTCGCACTGCTCCTTCCAGCTGAAAGTATCTTCGTAACTTGTTCGCAGTCTTTGAATCTCTTGCAGCCGCTCTGCCCGGTCTTTCAGACGGACGGCTGCGATTGCCTTGGCCCACTCTTTAGGCTCGGCTGACTCCACCACAAATGGCTTGCCTAATGGTAACAAGCGCAGTGCATCTCCAAAACCCGAGTTTCCACTCACAAGAATGGGAAGACCAGCAGACAAGGCTTCCAGCGCAGTCAGTCCAAACCCCTCCGTCCTGGACGGCATGATAGCAAGGTCGACCTCGCAAAACAACTCCTTCAATCTCTCCTTGTTTTGGACAAATTTCCTGACGACCAGTTGATCTTTAGGGATTCCACAGTGCAGCAACTTGTTTGCGACGTCCTCTTCTTTTCCATCTGGTGCGCCCACAAATATCAGACGGTACGAGCTGTCTTCCAGTTCAACTATTGCTTTCGCAGCAATGTCATATCCTTTGAGACTGAAGTCTTCTTGATCACCGCGGCCAAAAATTAGCACCCTAAACTTCTCACTCTCAAAAGTGGCTTGTTTTATGACTGAAAATTCACTGAAAATACCAGGAGTCAGCTGAATTACATCTTGGCGTTCTTTGCACGATCGCAGGTAAGCAGAGTAGGCCTCCTTCAACTTGGGTCCCACAGCCACAACAGCACTGGCCAACTTGCACAGGTCTACTTCGGTTCTGTTCTTCTCTTCACCTTTCGAAATGGCCTCAGAATAATTCTTGTGCATTCCGAGTTCCTCGGGTGCAGTATGCACTACCTGGACCCACTTACAGCTGTGCGACTCTCTAATGACCTGGGCTTGTTTACCAAGCTTCGCTCCATGACCCAGAACGACGTCAATGGCAAGGTCTTTTGGTGGGAAGCTCAACCATTCAAGGGAGTCGTAGCCCGGGCGTCTCTCTGCTTCTCTAATGGCAATGTTGTGGCTTTTAGCGACCCTCCTTTCTTCTTCAGAGCAGGCAAACTGTGGGACCAATAGAGTGACTTCTATTTCCATGTGTTGTGCCAGCTGTAAGGCAAGCTCTCTGTTTATGGTTGACAAGCCCCCCTTAGACGAACGCCACTCACTGGCTAAGAGAGTTACATTCAAAACTCTCTCGGACGTCCCTAGATTACCTTGTGCTGGCTCGCCCTGAGATTTGGCAGCTACAGTGGAAAGAAATCTATCCTGCAAGAGAATGAAAATGTCTTTATAGGAATACAGCCAATTTTCTCGGTTTATATTGTAAGCGGGCATGAGATAAACCTTTCCCGCAATGCAAGACTGCAACACTTTTTCGACTTGGTTTATTTGGGTGCGCGTCACGAAAACCACAATGAATACAAGGGAATAGTTAACTGTGGAAATTTCTCCAGTAGTTTTATTCCAAGCTTGTCAGATGTGAACAAAACAGGGGAATCCCATTACTGTTGATTTTCAGTTCTTTGCATGAATAACTGCCGCATTCTTCTTTTTGAACGCTTCCCTAGAGACAAGTAATGGGGATGACTATTTAACAATTATTCGCCAAAAGCAGGGTGAACATTGGTGAATCAATTCACGGAAACGAAGTGCACTGAGCCTGAGGGAATAATTGATTTAGTCTAATTTTCAGAGGTGAATATAAAGGACTACAAAGTAATGGACTACAACATAAAAACACAGACGCAATTGTTCGTGCGCATACACGTATGCACCCGTAGTTTTAATAATAATAAGCTTGCATGTACATCGATTGTCAATCAATGTACTCAGTGAGTTCGGCAGTAAAACAAACGAGCGCAACACTACGAAAAATAAATTCAGCCGCTACCTTTGTTTTATCGTTGTTGACTTCATTCACTGTTGTCATCAT